CCGAGAACTTTTTTCATTTTCCTTGTATTGTTAATCAGTTGGTGGAAACCATTTTGAACTTCTTCGTGTCCCATTCCACTGATGAATACCAATTTTATATATATTATGTACACCATGTAGGTAAATTATATACATTTTTTTCATTTGTTTTTTTCGCCTGGTCATTTATTTTATATTTTCATTTATATTTTTATTTTTTTAGGATACCCGACTTTTTTTTATCAAATGAATTGTTAATTGATAAATCAAGAGGAATCGGGAATGGAACGGCCACTCGAGATGGGGTAAATGCGAAAATCGAATCTCCAATTCGAAATTGAAGCTGAATGGACAAATCTGCGGGTATGACTCGTAAAAATAAATAACCGACAATTGTAGAAATAGGAGAAATACTCGAGAAGTCGTTGAAATAGTAGAAATAAGTAACAGGAAGTTGATTTCATGGTCAGTCGATACCACAAGAGTTCTCTCGGTTGTTGGACTTCTCCCATAACGTTTGCTCCAGATGGTATTTTTTTTTTTTTTAGAAAATAAGAACATCGTATCAGTATGTACAGACATTCTCAGCTTGTCCACTGACTTTTGCCGATAATAGAAAAATGTCGCTGGAGAGGAAAATGGAATATGTACATATATAGAGGTTTGTTGATTTCATTTGAGGCCTTTTGAGGTGGATTTCTAGGGTTTTTCTGTACCTCAGATAAGATTTCAAAGAGACGCTAAAAAAAATCCTTCTATCGATTTAACGTCAGGGGCAATCATTCCTGTCCCAGTAACTGCTTGTCTCCACTATTTCTTTGAGGATTGCAGAAATTTTATGCTGGGGCAAATTGCTTGCAGAAAATACACCAGCAAATTCTTAACTTCCAATTGTTAATGGTGCTTAACCGTACAAAATCACAATCACAAATTATTTACAATTGAAACTTATAATTATGTTATAATTTAATTCAATCGACATTTATGGAAAATTAAATATACCACATTCAAATCATTTTTTTTTTTCACCACTGATTTTTCTATAAATTTCTTTTATCAATTTAACAAATATATCATTTGAATGATAATAAATCATAATTTTATCAATTTTAGCAAATGTTTATCAGAAATTTGTCAAAAAAATTGGATAATGAGAAGATGTCGACTCCTTGAGAGATAAACTTGACAATTTATGTAAAGTACTCTGCTGTTTGTCTCCAGGAATTGTACTTTATTTTCTCGGTTGTACCCCAACTTTTGGGTCTCGAGATAATGAGCGTTAAGACACAGATACGGCACGCGTTATAGTAATGCTTTACTCATTAGCGTTATCGATCCTCAACGTTGAGTTTAAGCACAGCCAAAGTCCCCAAAACATATACATAATATCCTTTCGAGACAGTTGGCCATTACACCGAGAAGTTCTTGCCAAACTGCTGAAGAAATTTTTTAATGCTTTAATGGCCCCGAGGGTATTGGATTTTCAAGTGCTAAAGCTTCGCTAACCGACTTCATCAGCTTTTTTTTATTATTTTCCGTTCAATAATTAAAGTACCTACATTTTATTTCCGTCATAGTTCAAGCAAAAAA